TAACAACTCTGTAGAAAACTCCATTTTTCTACAAATGGAGATGAAATGGAGAAAAGTCCATTTTTTGTCTCTAGTACTACCTTCAGAAAGGAAGATATGTATACACCCTAAATGTTGGAGAAGCAGTGATGAATAGCAGAAAAAAGCAGTACAAAGGAGAGTTTGGAAAGACATGTGTTCTGGTATCATCAAAATGTGACCCTGTCATAAGTTTCTACAAACTTTATCTTTTTTACAGGGAGGTTGTGGCACACCTAGACTCCTCTGTTAGGAGAAGACACCTACATTGTATAAATAGAAGGCTTAGAGAATACTTAGTTATCATTTTTGAGAAATTTGGCTTCTAATTACAGAAGGATCAATGTGATTCATAAAAAGTAGGTCCAGCAGTTGTTCCCAACTTAATAGGGAAGGACACACCGTCTGCATAATTATTAAAATTTATTTTAAATAATTAGACCACAATTGAAAAATCAGGAGAGCGCTACACCAAAATTGATGTAGGGTGAACACTTTCTAAATTACTTTTACTTAAACTTTGGTATATTTACTAAACATCAAAATATGCATGTTTACCAGAAATATTCTGTACATCAGAATAATCTGCTAAAACATACACACATAAATTCTGACAGCGTGTAATTTTTATTGCCTGCTTTATAATGTATTTAAATAACAAATAAAGGGCAGTAGCTTTTTGTGCAGCTTCCAAGACTTGTGCTGAGTATGCTCCACAATGTTTGGGGTCAGAATCCAAGCTAGCCTCCTTAAACATGAATGGATAGATGCTTTCAATTTCTTTATGAATTAAATTCAACCTGAAAGGAGACTTTGGCAAGTGTTTCTAAATCAATGGAGATGACTGTATATGTAGTGTACCTTCTTCTCTGGGAGAAGTATAGAAATACTGTAGTTAACTCATACTTTTTTTTAGCCAACCAGAGACTCTTAAAAAGAAAACTAGCAACATTCAGATAAAAGAACAATAAGGAAACAATGAGAAAGATCCTGTGCCTCACCTCTGACTGTAATAAGTAATGAATCAAACTGTAAGAATTATAGTTTTCATTTTAAAAAAAGATTAGGAGCATACATTATCTGAGTGTAATTACAGCAGGCCATTGTTGAAGTTGCGTAGCAATATTCTATCAAAGCATGTAAACAGGGCCCATCTTTTGCACCCATACTATTGTAGTATTTAAAAATCAGTCTTATGTTTTATGTGATTCAGTCAGTTTTGGTTTAAAAACAGACCTAATTTCACTGCAACCAAAAAGGATGTTTGACATTTCTTACCGTTCATTCATTTTAGAAAATGAGCCAGCTGGAAAAACTGCTTTTTATAGTATTTGGTAAAGGAAAAACAGAGTTATAGAATTATCATGTCAGAATTTTCTGTAGGATAAACGAAAATGAAATAGAAGTTCATAAATGATTTGATTACTAATTCTAAGTTTTACAGACTACCTGGCAACTGTTGCAGTGTGGGAAGTGATAGAACCAGCAGCACTTGTTGCATTATTTTCAGTAAAAAAGTTGCCAGGCAAGTTTTTTGCTATCATTCATTATTATTTTCATGCTATCCTCTGTAAAGAAAAAAAGATCCTGGGTCTACAGGAATCTTTGCAAACTGAGATGCCAGGGCTGAGTTTCCTCAGTTCGAGATGCTTTGTCAGAATTGTAGTTCCCTGAGAGCTAAAACTCATGCATACCTGTGAAAGCAGATGAAAGACTAGGAAATAAAATAAGATACTGAATTACTTCTGCTGGTACATGCCTGAAAAAAATCATCAAAGGTTATTATAATTATGACTGTTATTAGATATCGTGTCTGGTTTCTGCATATTTATATTCTTTCTGAGAGAGGTGAAACTTAGGCACTTAGAGATCCCAGGGGAATAATTGCAGAAATGATGACATATTCCACTTCTTGAACAAATTTCAATACCAAAGCTGCATTCTGCGTACTTACATTTCTTCTTAATTATACTTGGATGCAAGATAGATAGTCATTTTCTGTCTTACAAATGTGTGTAGCCAATTAGTCTTGTAGATCATGAATACCCAATGGCTTAACTCATTAAATGGAATTTTCCTTTTCTGTTGTTATGGCAAAAAAGTCTGCGAATAGCTGGATATCATCTTTCTCTGTGAGCTCAGCCTTGGCCAAGGTTACAAATCCTGTAACTTGAGCAAGTGAACAATTACTGGGTTTTCCTGTACTTACAATATGCCATTTTAGTATTCTGAGTGTGTGTGTGTGTGTGTGTGTATTGTAAATTGGTATAGGCTGTTCGGCTTCTCTGCGCTTCTGGTACTCAATTTTAATCCACAGTTATGATGCTATGTGATTAATTTAGTCTTCTTGATTTCCTTCCATTCCCAAGAAATTCTGAGCCCACAAGCTCTGTCTAGCCCTCTGAGAGACATGGACACCTGAGCTCTTTTTGCTCATGGAATCAAAGATGAGAAAAATTGGCAGTGTATCTCTGAAGAAACCACTGCTTATATCAAGTGGTCAAACACAGGTGTTCTTTTCTTCTTTGCTCTGATTTTTTTTAATTATTATTTTTTGCATATCATGCTTGCCATTCTGTCATCTGATAGTATGAAGACAACACATGTAGCTTAGAATACCTCACAGGCAGGATTCATAGGGATGATGAAGGCAGAATGTTATGACCAGAGACAACCAGGGAACCACAAGACAGTTGTGAAATGAATTACAGACCCCGTATTGCTTTGAGCCGGTTTTGCTAAGTTACAGTATTGGTAAATAACGACTGCAATGTGAGGACATGACCTGGTGATTGGCCATGAAGTTTTTCAGTGGTAGCATGTTTCCCCAAGGGTGTATGTTGCTTATCTAACGTTTTGTTCTCCTCTTGTTCCTGATATTCTGAGGCTTTGGTAATGTAGTACTACAGCAGATACGTCACTGTGATTTTTAAAAGCTATGGTCTCAAATATTATAGAAACAACAAAACCTCTCCATTCAAGGGAAATGTTCCCTGTAATCTTATTACTGGCTTAGTTATCTCCAGTGCCTCCTTGACATGTATTTGCAAAATTCCTCTGTGGATTTAATTGAATAACTGTTTTGATGAAAGAAAAAAACCCACCTTACTGTTTAGGGGAATGTTTAGAGGAGTAAACAGTTACACTGGATCTAGGTCACTAAAATCTGAGTATGTTGTATCTGTTGTTATTTGTAACTATAGGCTTCCCAGAGAAACATGAACGGAAGATTTAAATGTGCTATAAATAACTCTTAAACATATAACATAAAACATATAAACATATCTTAAACATATAACATAAAACATAAACATATAAACATAAAAATATACATATTTTTCTACTATTAGGATTCTGTTAGTGGGTCTGTAACTTGAGGCTTTTTCCTCTTCTGTTGTGTACCCCCCATGTGTGGGGTAGTAACTGGGGAATTAACTCTAACTGCATTTGTGGGGATGAGCTGGGCGCCCACTGTCTCCCCTGCTCTCCAGGGTTTACTTCAGGAATACTCCAGGTACATGCACAGGAAAGGGAAGGCAAGAGTTATTCCATGTTCTCTTTGGCAAGTGGAGGATTATAGATGTATCATGTGCGCGTGTGTGTATATATATATATGCATATATGTAGTATGTATATATACTGTAACGTAGATGTGATGTTCTTTTTTCTGCCATTGACTGTTAGAGAAAATCCTAATCTTACCTTTTACCGCTTGTACCTTAAAAAATCAAAACATTATTTTCTGACCTTATGATGGAGGCTTTAAAACTTGAAACTTCTACATAGCTACTGCCACTAGGATGTGGTGGAAGTCTTTTAGTGAGGGAAGAGGGCCTTGAATGTAGCTTTGCTCACAGATAGTAAAAGTTTAGAGTAAAATGTGAAAACTTTTTGATTCCTAAAATAGTAATAAAAGTGGTGAGTAAATTTAACTTGTAATTTGCAGAATGCATTTGTCAAATACTTTGGAAATAATCCAGGGCACATTTAAATGAAAAAAAATAGAGATGGGGTCAGACTAAAAATGTTAGCTAAATATCCTCCAAGATTTGCAGAAATTATTTTATAATCTTCATTATACAACTCAGTAATGAACAAAATCAGAAGGTCTTGTGTGGGGGATTTTGAACTTTGGGGAAAGTTAAATTTTGTTTCATATCTACTTAGCACCTAAATGCAACTGGTGTGTCTTGGGGTCTTCCATTTAACTGATTGTAAAACTGGTGCTTCCTTTAAACGGTGATAGTGCATTTGGAAGTTGGGAGGTATAATTGAAACACTGGGCTTTTTAGCTCAGTATTTATTTGGCCTTTAATATTGCTGTGTCTGTGAGTTGTTAAAAACTCTTCTTCACTGAGTCTGTAATATGCAGTGTTGATCCAGTGTCATAGAAATCAATGTGACCTCATGAGTACTGCCTAGTGAAATCACCAAGGTGCCCTATCACTGTAAATAGCAAGTGTGGCTTTAAGAAAAAAAAAAAAAAGGGCGGCAAATAGATGAGCTTGATGGCATCTAGAAGTTGTGCAGTTCCCTGTTTCCCTCAGGTGCCACTAACTGTTTTGTTTGTCATAGGGCTAGTGCAGGGGGGACAACACAGGACATGGTGTGGCCCTTTTTGTGAGTGAGAGTTTCATGCTGAAGAGGATTTTTTTCATTAGTTGGATGAAACTGTAACAGACTGTGCACATCTGACATTTTTGTTTCTTACTGTGCTAATAAGTAAAAATCAGTTCATACTTTTGAACTAGATTTTCATGTTAAGCCATTACAATACCACAGTTCTAGCCCTCAGTTCTGACTTCTAACCCTGTTAGTTTCATAGTTTGAACTAGGGCTTTCTCTGCCCAGCTTTCTTGCTGACACAGAATTTCCTCAGAGAATTTGATGATTTCTGCTACGAGTGTTTGTTTGTAATTGCAGCTCTCTTCTGAGTGTAATTTATTATTTTTGTATTCTGAGTCATCTTTTTTATCTTCCAGGTTGGTGAGAGGCAGAGAGTTCTGGTAACAGAAGAATCTTTTGATTCCAATTACTATGTTGCTCACAATCCTTTCTATGAGCAGGTACAGTTAAATAACCAACGTAACATCTTGTTTTATCTTTGGTTTCTGATAATCTCAGCAATACAGTGTGCCACAGTCTGAAAAACAAGTAAAGAAGTAAGAAGCATTTTCCAGGAAAGGTGTGACCATCAGGACTTGTTTGTGAGATATTTTGTTTCTGTGCTGTAAATCCAATTCACCTGAAATAAATTAAGAAATGCACAGTGTCTCTTTGAGCATACAGTGTGAGGAAGATGCATGCTATATATTCAAATAACATTATTTGAATTGTTTAAGAAGCTGTTAATTATTGCAGTATTTTTAAATTATATGTCTCCAAAGCATTGTTTTCTGAATAGCTGGATCTTGATAATTTCCATACATCTTTCAGAAAATCCTTTCAGACAATGCAATTTACAAAAACCAATAATTTCAAACAGTCGGAAGGGTGAGAAACTTCTTAGATTAACCCTTCAGGCCAATATGCTGTATTTCCTTCTATGTACTTTCTATAAATGAATTCTTCCACACAGAAACATTATCTTTAAGCTCGGAAGGAAGTACAGCATCTATTTCACAGAATTATTATTTTTGCTCAAAAGCAGATAATTTGCTGAAAACCAATAAAATTGGCTTTTCTGAATCATCGTGATTTCATTATGGTTTTGCTTGTTCTCCATTTTCTTACACTGAGCTGTTTACAGTTTGCTTTTGCTACCTTTATTTATTTTAAAATTTTAGGATTTGCTCTGATGTTTATCAAAAATCTGAGTGGAAGCTGGAGACGCTGATTTTTTTTGTGATATTTAGTAACTATGTCTTTCTTTGAAAGGTTCTTGTGCCAAAGGATCCTCTGTTAATGGGTAAGATGGTAGAAGTGAATATTTATGAAGCTGGGAAACATTTTATGAAGGGGAAACCAGTGTCAGATGCCAGAGTTTACACTGCATCCATCACCAGACCGTTAGGAAAAGGAGAAGTTTCTGGTTTAACGGAGGTGAGTAAAAGACATTTTCTGCTTTACTACACTGGTAAAACAGCAGCTGTTCAAGCATAATGATTCCATGCTATGTATCTGTTATCATTTTATACATCCCTTTTTATATATGCATGAAGCTTTAATCTTTCCTGACAGATTGAAATCTGAATTTAAAAGATATTTTTGCTGATGCCTATAGCTTTACTTTGCTGACTATAAAGGCAGTAATACACTTGTTTTTTGTTCCACTGTGGACTTACTAGAATTTAAGATTTAACACCAGTGATTATATAAGCCAATGTATTTGAGTACTAGTTTAGTGGAAGGATGAATCGATGTATTTTGCTTGATAAAGCTGGTTTTAAAAAAATGTGTGTTGATTACATGTCTGTTAAAATTGTATTCAGATATTCAAAATTAATTGATGGGTAGAGGTACAGAATACTTACAGTATATTTTGGGAAAAGGTCAACATCTAATTTAGTCATGTAAAGAAAATGAAACTCTTTTAAAAAGAGATCTGATCCTTATTTTACACCTCAGTAGATATGGCTGTTAGCCAAGTATTCTCATACATTTCGTGGAGCTCTAGTTGTAAAAACTGATGGAGTGTGAAATGAAAATGTGTATCACATTTCTAAGCATCATTTGATGTCCTTTCTCCAGCACTGTTGTTAGGATCTCCAAAAATATGTAGCAATAATTTAGCACATGGAAGGATAACTGGCAGCTTATCAGCCACCTTGCTGCTTTTACAGTAAATTTTGACAAGTATTAAAGCATATGCATCCTTTTTGAAGCTCTAAGTCATATTTAAAAGAAATAATCAATGCATACCTTAGGTGACTAGCATTAAGCTAAACTACCTTGCTGTCTTGAATGAGCCTGGCTATGGAAACATCAAGCAACAATAATGCACCTACTGTAATGTGTTTGGCAGATCATGAAACTTAAGCACAAACACATCACTAAATTCTCCTTTGAATGCTGTCTGTGTGTATGTGTATATTGGCCTGATAAGGGTCTGTAAGAGGGGAAAAAACAGCCAAAACCCTCAAATTGTCTGGTTGGACTATGTAGCTATTTAAACACAACTGATTTTTTCATCAGAATACATTTTTTTTTTTAATAATCTGATGGAACAGAACCAAGCCTGTCATTAAACTGAATATGTACTGCTAGAAGCTTGTAGCATGGGTACAAGCAGACAGACTGTTGACTGAAATTTTGTATGTTAAAAATGAGAGATGAAATTATTAAAATCAAGGATACTGATAGTTGCCATAAGAACTCATTGAGATGTATAGATCTGCCTCTGCTCTTTGAGTAGGTATGAACAAGTACTGAGAATGCCCAAGTAAATGGCTACAGCAAGCAAATGGTAAGGCAGATTGCTTTTCATGACATTTGTGCCTGCCAGTGCTCCTTCAAGGGAGTATCTTATTTATGTTTGGTCCATGGGATGTGTTAGGAACTTCAGCTTTATGGAAGAAACTAAATCTCAGTACTTTGGTAAATGGGACATCTTTTGTACGTGGAAGCTGCAGCTGAAAGCTTTTAATCATGCTTGGCCAATGTATAATATAGAGGACATGAACTGAAACTGTTAATGGGAAGTTCCTCCTGACAAATCATACGTAAGTGGCAGATCAGGAACTTTCTTTAGCTTCCCAGGAAGAAAAGTCAGCTTGCCACAAAAGTCACAAAAGTGGGGTTTTGACTGGGTGAAAGATGCTCTTTGTATTGTTTTGTATGGTTGGACTGCTGGGAAACGTTTCCTTCTAGGTGTGCTTGAGACATGTAATTCTAGCCTAAGGTGCTTATGAGCAAGACAAAAGGGGCAACATATGTCATATGACCCTTTATATAGCTTGTTATGTGCATAGATGGCAGGTTGGGGAAAGAAGAAGATGACAACACATAATGTATGTGTTCAGATACTCCCTCAAAAGTACCCAAAGATCTTGGGATCTTCAGCAGGATCCCAAGTGTCCACCAGGCTTTCAAAAGGGCAACATGCAGAACTAAAACCTTGGATAACTTTTTTTGTTAAGCAATCAAACTGTATAACGGAGAGAAGGGTTACCTAAAATATGTTATAAAAGCACCAAATTAAAACACAGGTGGCCCTTCCACTTTCTCCTTCCCACTGAATTAGGGCCTGCTTTACATTCCTAGGCTTGAAAGGATGGATAGCCAGCTGAGTCTTAAAATCAGGCACATCTCTTGCTCAGCGCAGATATCCTCTGGGCAGAAGCTTCTAGGCAGCAACCAACACCCTGTAGCCAGCATCTTGGCTGAAGTGCCCAAGAAGTTTCTAGTGGACCTCACCCTGTCACCTGTGTCTCACCCTGTCTCACCCTGTCAGTGGTATGACTTCCTCTCAACTCCTTTATATTTGCTGGTCCATGATGAGAGCTAGGTCAGAGAAGTACACAAATTTAGATGTAGATCGAGGTAATCTAGATCAAAAGAGTGTGATAATGGGCTGTACTGCAGTAAAACACTTAGATGCTTCAGTCAGTTCCCATTCAACAAAGCACTTGTCTCTTCCCTAATGACTCTGTGTATTGCTGGGGTTGCAGTGCACACCTTACAGTTCAGCATGTTGCACAAGTACTAAGATGAAGAGGGATAGATTGCTGAGACAGGGCTGTAACATAGTTGTAGACAGTCTGCAGCAGTTTAAAAGACACTATTTTTGGAGTGCATCCTAGGCATCACTTGCTATTATTAACAGTTTTTCATTAGCTTACATAGGACACAATAAAAGATGTTTCGAAACACATCACAGCTGTACTTCTCTCTAATGAGGAATGCTCACAGAAAGAGTGAAAGCTTTCAAAATTGTACCCTTTTTAAGGAAAGTAATCATATAGCTAAAAAATAAAGTTAGAGAAATTAAGACCACGTAATGTGAGAATGTCGAAGTCACAAACCCATCCAAAGCAAGAAGAAACTTTTATAAATGCTGTGATGAGGAATAGAATCATAGAATGGTTTTGGTTGGAAGGCACCTTACGGATCATCTAGTTCCAGGCCCCCTGTCATGGGCAGGGACACCTTCCACTAGACCAGGTTGCTCAAAGCCCTGTCCAACCTGGCCCTGAACACTGCCAGGGAGGGGGCAGCCACAGCTTCTCTGGGCAACCTGTTCCAGTGTCTCACCACCCTCACAGTAAAGAATTTCTTCCTTATATCTAATCTAAAAATACTCTCTCCTAATTTAGAACTATTACCCCTCATCCTATCACTACATTCCCTTACAGAGTCCCTCCCCATCTTTCCTGTAGCCCCCTTTAAGTACTAGAAGGACGCTATAACGTCTTCCCAGAGCCTTTTGCTCTCCAGGCTGAAAAATTCCAATTCTTTCAGCCTGTCCTCATAAAGAAGGTGCTCCAGCTTCCTCTGAACCCACTCCAATAAGTCCATGTCTTTCTTATGCTGGGGGCCCCAGAGCTGGACACAGCACTCCAGATGGGGTCTCACAAGAACACAGTAGAGGAGGAGAATCCCCTCCCTTGACCTGCTGGCCACACTTCATTTGATGCAGCCCAGGGTACACTTGGCTTTCTGATCTGCGAGCTCACATTGCTGGCTCATACTGTTTTCCATCCACTACTACCCCCAAGTCCTTCTCCTCAGGGCTGCTCTCAATCCACTCATTGTCCAGCCTATATTTGTGCTTGTGTTATACCCAATATATTGGCATCAAAATTTATCTGCAGTTGTGTGCCCCCTTTCTCATCTGCTCCATGTCCCTCAATAATTTTTCCTGACAAGTTCAGAGGGAGCACCACAAGTAACATGGTGTGTCTTTTTTTTTTTTTTTTTTTTTTTAACCCTTTTGACCCCATGACAGGTGACAAATTGGTCCAAAGAAATACAAGAAGCAGGTCACCAACTGGAATCGAGACATTTGACTGGAAAAGAGGGAATGTAAAATGTCACACAAAGGACAATTCACAGACTCCATAAAATATTCACACACTGTGAATATCTGTGCCAAATAAGGAAGAGACCAATATTGATAGAATTCATTCAGGATATTTCTAGCATATCTTTTTATCATGCTTTTTCAGTGTACAAGAAAGACACCTAATATGTATATCCGTTAATGTATTAATGATGTAGAATGTCTTAGCTGTTATTATATTCTCTAAGGAAAAAAATTGTGACTAAGTAGCTGGGCTTAGAATAAGGTCTTGACATTCAATAATGTTAGGCTCTGTGGCAAAAGTTGGGACAGGAAGGACAGAGGAGTGTGGCTCAAGTTAAAAAGCTGTCAGAGCAATCAGACGTACTGATTGTAGTGGACGTATTAAGTATTAAAATGAACAGGTGTTTACCAGGATTTATTTTTTTTTTACTTCAGCATAAATTTTTCATAAAAGCCTCTCAAAAGGAAACGATGTCTCCAAATTGCACAATTTTACAGGAGGGCTACTTTGGGGGACAAATACACTTGGGAATTCCAATTAACTCAGAAATTTGAATCTACTATCCATTTATTTGCATTCAAAATGTGCAGTTGCTGATTCAGTAATAGAAGAATGTTTATGAGATATATAGCAATGATATATAGGTGAAAACTAAGAAAAAAAATCATGGATGCATGCATAAAGGCATTTTTGGATTTGGTTCTCATGAATCCAACAGGATATATGTGGAGTGGGCATTAAAAGGTATTGATGGTAACGTTAAAAATGATCATTCAAATAGAACAAGCATATGAGTTACTGCAGTTACAAATAACTAAGTATTTCAAAGCTTTGATCAACCATTAGTTCTGAGTTTCACAAGAAAAAAACAAGATGTCAGTGCTGCAGATGTGATATCCTTTCGTTGAGGTAGGCTTGGAGTTGACAAAGCATTAAGGGTGTACTTTAGCATTTTGAGATTCAGTAAAGCAATTTAGCATGTCTGCTATGTTCTTAAGCACTCTGGTAAAGTAGTCTTTGGGATTTTGGAAGTGGATTTACAATGCACGCAGTACTGAGTACAGTGTCACTGGATAA